TAACCCTAACCCTAACCCTAACCCTAACCCTAACCCTAACCCTAACCCTAACCCTAACCCTAACCCTAACCCTAACCCTAACCCTAACCCTAACCCTAACCCTAACCCTAACCCTAACCCTAACCCTAACCCTAACCCTAACCCTAACCCTAATACAACTGGCCCATCATGCGTCCCTAAGGGTCAATCAGCTGTGCACCAGGGCCCGAGGGCCCGGCATCAGGGTCGACCCGAACAAGACGGAGGTCCTCTACATCCCCCCCCCCGGGGCCACCGGAGCGAGGCGTGGCAGGATCGACCCCACAACAACCTCGACCCAGGCGGAGAGGACGTCCTTCCTCCGTGGTAAATCCGTCAAGTGGCTTGGAGTCTCCCTGGCCCCAAGCTCAGCCCTGCGACCCAAGCAGCCGCGAGGGCGGCGGCGACAGCATCGGTGGTGGGGCTGGTCGAGCGCTTATCCAACACGAGGCTCCGGGGCTTTCCCCCCTGGCCGGTCCCAAGATCTTCGCGCAGTCGTCACCCCTTCCCTCCTGTATGGCATGGTCCAACTCGATACCGGCCCAACTAGAGCCGCGGTTGACGGCCACTTAGCCCCATCTAAAATTATGCCGGTGTGGTCGTCCCTCACCAAGGTCGCGAACGCGGCACCCAGAGTGATCTTCCCGGTGTGGTGGACGATCCCGACCACGTGACTCTGGTGGCTAATTGGCCTCTACCCAGAATATCTGCTGGACAGAGAGCGATCAAGGTGGAGGGCTCGCACAGAGATGCTGCCGGCCAACCACCCTCTGTGGATCAGGCTTGTCCGACCCCCTTATCGGGGCTGGTCTCGTCTACACCAAGCGGCCCGCGGGCTCAGGGCTAAGCCCTTATGGGAGCCAAAGCACCTAGGGATCAGGGAGTGGCTCGGCCTCCCCCTGCCTTTTCTCCCCCCCCCCCGCGGAAACCGATGAGTGCCTCCCCCGGATATGCGTAGCTGGTGGCGCACTAACAAACCCCCCTCGACCTGCTGGGCTGGGCACAGTGCTAAACCATTCCTCGAGAGTTTCTCCCGTCAATGCCTATTGCGTTGGCTGGCGGAAGCCTCGGGCCACGGCGACTTCTTAGAATATCACACGATCACACGCGCTTCAACCATCCGCCGGAGGCTGTCAAAAAGTGTCCCTGCGGGGCGGTGGTTTCCAGGGGACACTTCTCCTGCCCTCTTGTTTCCCTTGACAACCCACTCGCGGGAAGGATAGACCCTAGGGCTTTCTAATCCTCCTTCCAACTTTTTTATATCTAGAGTCTCCCGGGCCGTACTCTGGGGGCAGCCTGCGAACCCTGCCCAGTGACGGCTCTCTCTCTCTAACATTCATCCTCTTCCCCCAAATCCCCCTTCGAACCCGGGGGTCCGGACACAGCTCCCCTGAACTACTCTCTCTCCCCTTAACCATGTAACATAACAGCCCTTCATTACTTCACGTCGGTTTATCTCCCACGCGGGTTTTTTCCTCCGGCGTCACCTGTAATTAATATATTTTAGATAGCTCTTGCCCGCCGGCACCATGGGCACGACTTAGCACTCCCAGTGGTGAAACAGTCGAAAATCAAATCAAATCAAATCAAATCAAATCAAATCAAATCAGGGCTGCTCCCCCCAGACGTTGCAGGAGCCATTCGATCGCCCTCTCACCTCCTTAACAACCCACTTGCCGGCAGGCTAGACTCAAGGGCTTTTTGGTTTCCCTTCCAGCTGTTCAAGTCCAGGGCCTTCCAGCGCAAACTCTGGGGGCAAGCCTGGGACGCTGCCACAGGCACCTATCCCGTTACCACTCCTCCGCTCCCCTCTCGCAAGCCCGCCCCAAGCCCAACGTACTGATCATTTAGACTCCGAGCCTAACGACCCGGAGTAGGTCCTAACGAGGCACATGCCTGGGACCGGCCGGTTTTGAGAGCCTTCCCCAGTACATAGTATGCTGTACTCCCTCTAACCGACGCCGGTTTACCCCTATGCGGCTTTTCCCCGGCGTTACCTGTATTTAGTTCAACTCAGGCAGCTTTTGTCCGCCGGCGTCGTGGACACGACCCAGAACCCTCGGGGGTGAACCCGGTCGAAAAAAAAGAATGAATAAATAAACGATCAGAGTAAAGGGAGTTGTGACCCATCCACCCAGATATCTGTCCTTAACGACTCCACGCATTGGGGAGGGGTTCCCCAACGCCAAGAGGCATTGATCCCCAACACCCAAGGATGTTAACCTTCAACAGTCTGTACCGTTAAGGAGGAAGGAGCAAGGGAAGTAAACAAGATGGTATAAGATATAGATAGATTCCAGGCAAGGCCATTTGGCCGAAGAAGGCCCCCAGTCAGCAATGCACAGTTGTCTACTCAACTGGTGATCACTGCGATCATTCTGACTGTGTGAGAACTCTTGTCTCCAAAGTCCAGCGGCTTGGCACCTCGCGAACCCATCCAGGAGGCCTGTCTGGATCGTCACACTCGGCTAGCTCCTATACCTCTCTTCTTGTAATATATGTTACCGCGTTGATGCGAACCTATAGCCGTCCCTCGGCAGTGACGAGAGGACCAACCCCGAACGGGGCCGGAGAGCGAGCCAATCAAAGGCCGGGAAAGATTATCGTTGCCAAGAACCATCGCTAATCGACCCCAACCCGCGACGATAATCCTAAACTTTGTTGACGATGACCTAAACAATAAGACGGCTGTACCAACTATTTTCAAGCATAAATCAGAATGTAGATTAGCCCCTTCCCCAGAGCCACGATGGAGATCCTCGGTCAGTAATACAAACACTTGGATGCCAACAGTTGTCACGACCAACAGGGTGTCAGGCGGGAAGAGTGGGGCCAGACACAAACGGCCAACAAAGACTCACGGCTCACGTGGGTCGGAAACGGCCAATAGGATACAGAGCCTTCTGACTAAGGTTGTCAAAAGCCAAGAGTCACTAACGAAAGATCGCCATAACAAGAACCGCTGACGAAGGACTGAATGGCCCTTGGTAGAAGTAAGAAACAAGGATCTGAGTCTCTAAGGAGATACATTCCTCGCAGCAGAAAGAGGATGAAGAACTCCCAGGTTAGCAACACAGTTTTGCATAACAAACTGATGACCACAGTGCTCCTGATCTAAGCCCATCTCAGCAAGGCTCGGTGGATCGGCACACAGTCATTCAGCTGTGTGAGGACCCCAGTCACTCAATTCTACAGCCTGATCACTACTTTTGAACCCATCTCAGGAGGTTGTAGAATCGTCACAACTCTCTTTTCCTAGGAGGTTTTTGTTTAATTAGCTGGGTGAGTGTTGTAGAGGCTGTACAAGATTACGGTGCAAGATTTAGTCGCTTAGATAATCGAGGAAATTTTCCAAGATTTTGCATTGTAATCATTGCGCAGTTAAGGTGCCCTTTATTTGCCTTGCATTTGCATGTCTTCTCAGTTTTGCGATTCTTGCAGTTGTGAAAGTAGCCCCTGCATCCTCTAACAAGAGTACCTGCACTCCGCATGATCCTCCTCGGTTGTAGGGTAGTGTTAAGGCGCTCAAACGGCTTTGCCGAATACTTCAGTCAACTTGGACAAAGTGAGAAACACTAGGTAATTTATCCTGCTTGGCTTCCGTAGACGTTGTTCGGTTTGGATCCGAAACACAGCTCCGATTGGCGCGCATGGGGATGCGGCTCAGCTATAGTAGCATTCGGAATATTCAGGCTCACCCCGCCATGCGTCAACGCCTAAACACCACGCTCACACATCGCGGCGATCACCAGACTATGGCTCCATTGGGAAGTTCTCCGGGGGATTCCAGAAATGGATGACCGGCAGATGGCGAGGTTGCTCGCCAAAGTGAACCCCAGAGAACATATATGAAGGGGTCACTCTTGCTCGCAAGCCAATGTTGCCAGGCATCGTCAATCCACCGCTCAATCTTCGGTCTTGTCTCTTGCACCAACACCATGCGCACTCTTTCTACCATCGCTCTCTCCCTTCTTGCCGTTCAGGCTGCTGATGCCGCATCGGCTGGATGCGGCAAGGCTCCTCCAAGTTCAGGCGTCAAGACCGTCACAGTCAACGGAAGACAACGTCAATACATCCTGCAACTGCCCAACAACTATGACCGCAATAAGCCTCACCGCGTGGTCTTTGGTTTCCACTGGTTGGGCGGCTCCATGAATGACGTTGCCAACAACAACTTCTATGACCTGCGGTCTCGTGGCGCCTCTAACACTATTTTTGTTGCACCAAACGGCCTGGATGCTGGCTGGGCCAACACTGGCGGCCAGGACATTGCCTTTGTCGATCAGATCGTCGCCTCCCTCAAGAATGACCTTTGCGTTGATGAAGGACAGTTCTTTGCGACCGGTTTCAGCTATGGTGGTGCCATGAGCCACAGTGTGGCATGCTCGCGGCCAAGTAAGTTAGACCCATGGACACTGAACAGCATCCGCGGAGGTACTCTGTACTAACGCTATTACTTAGACGTCTTCAAGAGCGTGTCAGTCATCGCGGGTGCTCTTCTCTCTGGTTGCGACGGAGGAAACACGCCGGTCGCGTACATGGGCATTCATGGCGCGGCAGATAACGTCCTCCCGATTGCAATGGGTCGTCAGCTGCGTGACAAGTGGCTCCAGACCAACGGCTGCCAGAACAAGAACGCTCCGGAGCCGTCTGCCGGCCAGCAAACTCACATCAAGACCGTGTATGAGTGCTCTCGTGCGCCAGTGGTTTGGATTGCTACCGGCAACGGCCATGTCGGTGATCCTACTGGCACCGGTGGCGTCAAGTTTGCTCCTGGAGAGACCTGGGATTTCTGGAACTCGGTCGCTGGTTTGCCGGGCGAGGGTGGTAGCAATCCTAATCCTACTCCGACTACGATCGTCACGTCGGTTATCCCTACTCCGACCAGTGTAATTGTGCAGCCGACGCAGCCTCCTGCAAACTGCTCGCCTCGTTGGGGACAATGTGGTGGTCAGGGCTGGCAGGGTCCGACATGCTGCGAGGCCGGCACTACCTGCCAGTCCTTCAACCCCTGGTACTCGCAGTGCCTGTAAGCACTCGGCACCTGATGTATAGTGACTTTGCTTCCGCATGTATATAGTTTACAGTTTACGTTAAGTTCAACGATGAAGGCAACCAGCTTAGGTGTTAAGACAGTGCATTCTCGCTATTAACTATGAACATGACATTGTAATGAACCGAGAGAGCAAGTGTTTATCCAAAACAACACCAATTTCTTCACCCCTCCCCTGCATATTCCCAAAATGAGGTAGCATTCGGTAGAACTAGAAGAAGCCGCTGAACTGAATCAAGTTTCTTTCTCCCCGCATTTCTTCGCCCTTTTTGAGTTCCATGTTTTGCATACAATACTGCGACGAGTCGCTGAAGATAGAGCATAATGACGGCTGTTTCGCTATTTGAATGAGTCTTCACACAATTGAGAGAGCCTGACAAGGAGGCATGTCTTTACATGTCCAGTATGCGGGTACTGATATAACGGGCCAGATATCGTGAACTGCTGTCATGGACACTGATTGGTCCCGACTGGGCAGCTGTGCTCTACTTTAATGTAGAAGTTCACTCTGTTCGTGAAATTGAGCTTAAGGGAAATGAGCCGATCTACCAGAACTTGAGTAAACAGCTGGAGTGTAATCCAGACAAGTCATACACGAGTTCACAATGCTACTTGAACTGTCATCTCCTCGAGCACGTGAATGTCACGTGATGCAGTGACTTTCAAACCTATCAGTCTCTGAAACTCTGAGCAAAGCGGTCGCTGGCATTGGAAGGAAAATGGAAACCATTGACTGATTTTGCTGAGAAAAAGCCCTACATCTGTGTTGCAAAAGAAAAGGCGCGCCCTTTGAACAACAGGTGTCACCCCACTCTTTGTGGATCTGCACGGATTGAAAAGACCGGCATATCCGATAATAGGAAACACTGACACGCTCTTACCACCTATTTGTGAGACTCGAGACAATGCTCAAAGTGTTCAAGGCGACTGAGATAAACTCGACATATGCTTCCACAATGGGCTCCTCTCAAAGCGAGTATATTGGGCCCGCCAAGTTTGGGCGCGAGCTCAGGGAACAGCACTTCCTTTTTGATCCCTCATATCGCAATCTCAATCATGGTATGCACCGCTTCTTGACTCACCAGCGCGCACTCTAATCCACACAGGTTCCTTTGGCACGATCCCACGTGAGATTCAGGCCAAGCTGCGCTCATACCAGGATGCTGCCGAAGCCAGGCCTGACCGCTTCATCCGCTACGATTATCCCAATCTACTGGACGAGTCCCGTGCAGCTGTTGCGAAACTCCTGGGGGTTCCAACCGATACGGTTGTCCTTGTCTCCAATGCGACGGTTGGCGTCAACACCGTTCTTCGGTCATTGCCTTGGTCTCAGGACAAGACAGATGATATTCTATATTTTGAAACCATTTATGGGGGCTGCGCCAAGACTGTCGATTACGTTGTTGAGGACCGGCGCGGCCTCATCACTTCTCGCTGCATCCCCATTCAGTATCCGTGCAGCGATGCTGTTCTGGTTGAGGCCTTTCGATCTGCCGTAGCTGCGTCCCGGGCTGCGGGGAGAACTCCTCGAGTGTGTCTGATGGACGTAGTCTCGTCCTTGCCTGGTGTTCGGGTGCCCTTTGAGCAACTCGTCGAAGCTTGCCGAGAGGAAGGGGTGCTCTCACTCGTCGATGGCGCACAGGGGATCGGCATGGTTGATCTGTCGCATCTTGGAAAGGTTGACCCAGATTTTTTCGTCAGCAACTGTCACAAGTGGCTACATGTGCCCCGCGGTTGTGCCGTGTTTTATGTGCCGCTGCGCAACCAACACTTGATCCGCTCGTCTGTGCCAACATCTCATGGATTCGTGCCCTTGCCGGTTCCTGGAGAGAAGCCCAGGTTCAACCCACTACCGCCGTCAAAGAAGTCTGCATTTGTCAACATGTTTGAGTTTATTGGCACTCTGGACAATTCGCCTTACCTATGCATAAAGGACTCGATCCAATGGCGCAAGGAGGTGCTTGGAGGAGAGGAGAGGATCATTCCCGCGTTGACAGAGCTCGCTCGGGCCGGAGGAAAGACGGTTGCTAAAATTCTAGGCACCAAGGTGCTGGATAATGAGGAGCAGACCATGACTCGTTGTGCTATGGTGAATGTGGCGTTGCCACTTGCAGTGCAACCGGCGGAAGGCAGAGAGCTGGACGCTGATTTGTCTGGACTGCCACTGATTCCCAAGGAAGACATTGGTGTTGTGACCAACTGGATGCTCGAAAAGCTCGTATACGAGTACAACACATTTGTGGCGCTTTTTGTTTATTCTGGTCAATGGTGGGCACGGTTGAGTGCGCAGGTGTACTTGGGTATGGAGGACTTTGACTGGGTAGGCCGCACGTTGAGGGAAGTCTGTGATCGAGTCGCTAAGGGCGAGTACAAAAGTAAGGCATAAGAAACAAAGCATGAAGAGCCCACGGAGAATGTCAATAAGAGGAAATGACTAGAGAGAAGATTAGGAGCATATATCTTGTAATTTGATACACTACTATCTACAAATAAGCCCCTGAACCCCTGATGACCACTCGTGACCCTAGGAAAGAAGACAACTATGAGAATCCATCCCGGTTAACCCTTCAGTAGTATGTTCGATGATTAAGTGAATATACCGAAAAATGACTGCAATCAATGGATAGTCGCTGCAGTCATGAGAGTCGTCACGGTGTCGAGAAAGAGCCGAACGGGTATTGGAGCATGAGAGCTATGTCGTTTGTGGGTTAAATTGAGGGCCTTACATAATGTGAAGCATGCGCCAGTCCATGTGCTGACACAAAATTGAGCAGAAAACGTAGACGAGGCTTTTGCGGCAATGGTCGTCCTCAAAATATATTGGTAAGAGGAGATGGGACGGAAGAAAACAGGGCCGTGAAATCTTGAGGCAAAGGACAATGTCACACGGACACGGCAGTCCAAGGAAAGGGGTGTCCCGACTGCCAACGCAAGGGACACCAGAGATAGAATGATTGTGAACGAGAGAAATACGTTGTTGATCCTGGAAGATATATGGAGCCATACAACCGAATGAGCTAGATGGCCGGGGAAGGAGGACGAGACCTCTGAAAAGTCTGGAAGCCCGAGGCACTCACAGGGCAAGAGGATTCCATAAAGGAAGCTGCCCGGACACGATGAAAGTCTTCTTTTGGTTCTTCCCCTCCCTAACACAAGGACACTGAGGAGCAAGAAAGATTATTACACGTATTACTTGACTTCGTTGTGCACTCCACATCGTCAGTGGCTATCATCTAACCCATTTGACCCATTGTCGATCTCTGTCTACACCAGATCAAGTCATACCCCACAGACAAGGAATGTTGGAGTCCTTTTGGGACAATAAAGAACACAAGATGAAGAGCAACACTGGGAATTGGGACTTCCTTAATTCAGGGAGATGAGAAAGTGCTTATAGTCCAGGTCCGTCGGGGGGTGTCAGTTTGCATCCCTGTGATAGTGGGGCAGTCCCGGCTCGAGGAGGTTTCCCAGCTCTTGCGGTCCCTCCTCCCCCGGCCCCGGCTGACTTCGTCGACAAGGAGGAGCTTGAGCGCTTTGCCTAGCTACTCTTTGATGTCCTCTCCGGGGTCGCTGGCCGGTTCTCGGTGCGCCCCCATAAGCACACTAAGTGTGGCCTCAGTGGTCCGAAGTGCTAGTTTCCTCCAAGGAACGGACCCCATCGAATTAAATTGAATTTTATTTCCGACCCGTATCACCCATGAGGATGCTCGGTCGTGCCCACGACGTCGGCGGGGAAAAGGTACATATGCACTCACTAGTCTAAGTTATGTAAATGCGGGGAAAAACCCGAGAGGGAAAACCGGTGAGTATCCGTGGTATAGATGAGTGGTATAGGAAAAGGGAGAAAAGTAGGAAAAAGAAAAAAGAAGATGGGTTAGGAGGGGCGAGTGTGAGGTATGTGGATGTCCAAACTAGACCGTTCTGATTCTGATTCTTCGTTATTAGGGGTGCGCATCGGTCGAGATTGTACGGCCATGCGTCAGGAAGGGTGGGGAGGGCGTTGAGTAGAGACAAGCTTTTGTGCGGGGAAGTCTGTAGCCTTCTCCAAGTGGGTGGTCCGGAGGTAGAGTTTGAACTCGATTCCGCCATCTGTATCCTTCCCGATCCAATAGGTACCGCAGGTACAGTCCGGCGAGCCACCACAGCCACGGCGTTGGGGTTGTACGCCAAAATGGAAAGAGAACCCTGAGAGCCGCGTGGGCGGTTTCGGACAGGACTGCCTCAACAGCACAGAAGCCGACGGGTATCAGCCGACCCCTAGCCCCGACCCGGGAAAGGCCTATGTCGAGTTGAGCCAAGCCATACATTAGTGATGGCACTACTATTATGTTGAAGACGATAGGTTCAGATTTGGGAGGGAAACCTTTAACTTTAGTATTGAAAAGTCTCTTGATTAGGCCTACCACGGAGGACGTAGCGGATGTTCTCAAGGATGCTTGGGCTAAGGGTCTCAGTTTGCCATCTAGAACTACCCAAAGTCACTTCACTGAGGTCTTGGGGGGACTGTCAGGTCACCAGATCGAAGAGTAAGCCAATCTGGGTCCGTCTTGTGCAGCTTTAAGCCTGCTCCACATGGGGGGATGTACAGGACCTCTGTTTTGTTGGGATCTACTCTAAGACCGAGGCCGCCTGCCTTTTGACGTAGGGATTTGACACGGAAAGCAGCGTGGAGTGCCAGTTGAGTCGGGTCCCGGCTCCAGGATAGTTGTGCGTGGTCATCCATGTACGTGAACGATGCACCTTGTGGTAACGGAGTAATGATGGGTAAAGAGTATAACACAAAGAGTATCGGTGACAATGGGCATCCTATGGAGCAGCCCAATGTCCGAGTGAAAGGTAGATCGTGCCGACTAAAGGAGAAGCGGCGCCTCTCGCAGAAGGTCGTTGCCGCCTCTCAGATGTTTGAGGGCCATCCTTGGTCCATTAGGACCTCTTTGAGTAGCTGAGGTTGGACTGAGGGGTAGGCTGAGTCCACGTCGAGTGTAACCAGTAGCCCGTGGTATCCTTGACGTGATCTAGTCTCCGCATCATGAACAAGAGCCTGGGCAAGGTCTAGAGCAGATCTCGAGGGAATAACCCCGGCGACGTCTGGGGGGATGATGCCTGATAAGATTGCAGCTGAAGTCATCCTTCTCACGAGGAGTCTCTCAATGCCCTTACCGAAGACAGACAATGAGGTAATCGGCCGCCATCCTTTGTAGGATCGGGGTCGTGGCCTGGTTTGGATAGAGTAACCACGGTTGCTTGCTTGAACGCCGAGGGGAAGTAGCCGAGGAGGAGACAGGCCTCAGAGAGACATCGGGCGGTCGGTAGCAATTTGTCCCAGGCATGTAGAACAAATGCTAGTGGCACTCCATCGGGATCCGGAGTGTTAGACGTCGCCCCGAGGAAGCTGTCAGTGAGTTCAACGTCCGAGGGTGGGGTTTTTAACTTGATCCGTAAATCTGGGGTGATTCTTGGTCCGGACCAAAGTGGTCTGGGGCCGGACTGCGAACCAGCTGGCCGGAAGGCTTGGACAGCAAGGTAAGCTGATATTTCCTCTACGTTTAAGATGGAACGTCCATTGACTGAAATTACCGATGGGCGGTCGTCCGAGGAACCCTTGCGCCATCGCAGGATGTGACCCCAGTCGGATGGGGTAGCGGCAGAGGCAACCTGGTTTCTGTAGAAGTTCGTACGGGCCTCTTTACAGAGTTTCCTGAAGACCAGGGAGTCAAAGTCTCTGGATACCTGGAGCGTCTCGACCACCATGGAGTGCTCTTTGGGTGTGGGCCAGAGGGAACAGCGAAACGGCCAACTACTCCTTTCAAGGCGTCATAGACTACCCAAGCATAATCCTTCAGATCTTGCAAGGTGAGGATTTTCCTCGGTTGGGGCAGAAAGACCTCTAGGAGAGCGGAGGCTTCGTCGAACCGGCTTCTTCGTAGCAATTTAGGGGGAGGGAGGGGCATCGGGCGGGCTCTATCCACTTGCACCAGCAGGGTTCTGTGATCCGAAACCCAGTGGGTAAACTCGGCGAAGGCTGTCTCCGGTCCCAGGGCTAGATCTAGTACTCCGCTAGCCCAATGTGTAGGGCTGGGCGGGTTTAGGACGTGAAGGACACGGGTCTAGATCCAAGCAGCGAGCATGTTTTCTCTGGGGTTCGGGAGGGCTCGGGAATCCCAGTGGGTGTCGTGTACTAGAGTCGCTAAGGACAAGAGTGCGTTGTACGCATTGTATGTTTCTAAGGCGTGTCCAGGCTGAAAGGGCCCTATCCAGTCTGGGATGCAGGTATATATTGATAATCGTCATCGATGGTAGAGAGTTGCCGAGAATGGCATGGTCGGGGGGGAAAGGGCCAGGTCGAAAGTTAGACGCCGGTCCACGTATATGGCAGCGTGTGTATCGTTATCGTCGAGGGTCAAAGTAGTATAGCCCGGGTGACGTCGCACTCTGTTGAAGATTATAGAACGTTCTTGGATGCAAACAATTTGGCATTTACATTTGACGGCGAGCTCTAGGATGCTGTCGGTATTGGCTATGGAACGTTGGACATTGGCCGAGATGATTTTGAGAGAGGGTAGCATTATTTAGTATCTCACGAAGATAGTGTCGCCGATATGGACTGATGGTCGATCAGGGCCTTGTGAAGAAGGATTCTGGAAGGGAGGGGAAGAGGAGGACAAAGGGGCCGTAGCTGCCCGGAGCGGTTGTATAGTACCGTCTGTTGAAGGCTGGGCGAGGCCTCTTGTTCTGACCGGGCGGCGAGCGGGGGTCTCTCTACGAATGTGTTGCTATCCGTCGAGGATCGCAATGCCCTCAGGGGAATCCCATGGCAGCTGGGCTACACTAGGGCAGCCTTACTCCGATGGTGGGAGTCTGCCAGAGCTTAGGAAGTCAATAAAACCTCTGGCATCTCAGTTCCTGTTCGTGATGAGTCGTTGGGCCTCTGCGATGACTTCATTCAGCGGGGACCTAGCTGTCACCATCCTAAAGGCCGCTCGGAGGCGTTGTCGCCATTCCTCCAAGAAAACTATGGTCGCTACGGTCTCTAGGGATGGAGGGCGAGAGGTGTTTGCCGCCGAGGGTTCGTCCTCCATCAGATCCAATGGCGACAGCGTCACGTCCTGCGCGTTGCGGGATTCCGCGAGTTTAGTTTTGTAGGCCGCACGACCCGCTTTTCTGATCTAAGAGCGTTGTTCTTTGGTCGGCTTAACTACTCTGCTCTGCAAGACTTTAGGTTTCGTAGGGCAGTCCTGATGACCCGGGGTGATATGGCCGAGGGAGGTTGGGGCATTGTGGGATTAGTTTGTGTTGCCTGTGATCCCGGAGTTGGCCACCGCATTCTCCGCACACTGGGTTATATTGACATTTGTCGACGTGATGAAAACCAAAGCACTTGGTGCAAGTATAGATACGAGGTTTGCGAGGGAGAAATTTGGTTGGGTCGGATCCAAACACAGAGAATGCAGAGACCTTGTGTTCGAGAATGACTAAATAGGAGCCCGGGGTATGAAGGGGGTAGACTTGCGCTTCTGTTTAATGGACGCTTCAACATCCTCAGCAATGAGGGGCTCCGTCGTGTACCGCAACTTGTGCAAGGTCAGGGTGATCTTCTGTAGGGAGCAGGTTGCCTCGGCCTCGTCTTCGGCGGACTGGGGCAAGATACTCAGGTGGCGCTCCGGCCCCGTTGATGACTGGCCAACGGTTATAGTCGTGAATGGGCGGGCGATTTTAGATACGGAGCAGGTGGCTGCGTACCTGGCTGCCCAGGCCTTCCGCCCAGCCGGGGCGCAGGTGGGACCCCGCCCGTTGTGGTTGGGGTCCCGCCTGACCCCCAGTGATGAAGAGCTCAAGGACGCGTTTTGGGGGCCACACCTAACCCCCCGGGTCCGGACGGGATCCCTCTGGCGTTCCTCAGGCACGTCTGGGACGTCGTGCGCCCGGCTACCCGGGCCCTCGTCGGGGGCTGCGTCGCGCACGGGCCTTCCCCGGGGCCTTGAAGCAAGCAACGGTGGTCACTCTGTCGAAGCCAGGGAGGGACCCTCTGTCATACAAGGGGCTGGCAACCGATAACTCTTCTTTCGACATTCGGTAAGGGTGTGGAGAGACTGTTGACCCGACGTATGGCCGCGGCGATGCTGGGCTTGGGGTGACTTCCCCCTGACGTCGCGGGGGCCGTCCCACCCAGGTTGGCGTTAGACCTCGTCCAGGCGCTAGTCCACGGTGCGAAGTCCATGTCAAGACAAGGCTATCGCTATCACGGACTCTTAGTCACTCTAGACGTCGACCCTGCCTACCCTTCGGTCCAACCACCGGTCCTCCGCGAGGTCTTGGCTGCCCAGGGCTGGCCCCGCTGGCTGTGTGAGGCGGCGGCGGACTTCTGCCACGCTCGCCGGTTTTCCATTCGGTGGACGCAGTTTAACTTCCGATCAGACACGGGTCTCCCACAGGGTCCCCGTGGTCTCCGATCCTGTTCTGTACTCTATGCCAATCATAACCCCTTCGCAACAAGGGTCCTCAATTCATGTACATGGACGGCCACACCCAACTGTCGTGGAGTAAGCACCCTGTGCAACTGGCCCAGCGTAATTCCCTCAGGATCAGATAACTGTGCTGCAAAGCCCACGGGCGTGGCCTCAAGATTGACCCAGGCAAGACGGAGTCCTCTACATTCCCCTCCGGGGGACCGGGGCAAAGTGGAACACGGTTGACCCGACGAGGATCCCGACACGCGTGGAGGGGGCGTCCTTCTCCCCTGGCAAGTCCATCAAGTTGCTAGGGGTCTCACTGGACTCTAAGCTCAGCCCCGCGACCCAAGCGGCCACTAGGGCGTCGGCGACTGCCTCGATTGTGGGTCTGAGTTAACGCCTGTGCAACACGGAGGTTCGGGGCTTCCTCCACTAGCTGGCCCCAACATCTTCAACACGGCCATTGCTCCCTCCCTCCTGTACGGCATGGTCCAACTCGACACAGGCCCAACCAGGGCCGGGGTTAACAGCCGCCTGGTCCCATCCAGGCTCACGTCAGCCCGGTCGTCTCATCAAGGTCGCAAATGCGGCGCTGAGGGTGACATTACCGGTGTGGAAGACGATTCCGAGCCGTGGCTCTGGTGGCTGGCAGGTTTATACCCCGAGTACCTGCCGGACAGGGAGCGGGAGCGGTGGAGGTGCCGCGCCGAATGTTGCCGGCCAACCCCCCTCCAGGCCAGGCTTGCCCGACCCCCTTACCGCGGCTGGTCCCGCCTGCACCAGGCGGCCGACGGTCTCGGGGTCCAATTCCAACGGGAGCCAAAGCGCCCGGGAGTTAGTGCGTGGCTCAGCCTTCCCTAAAACCCCCCAAACCCCCCAAGAAACGCCGAGTGCCCCCTCCAGATATGCAGGGGTGGTGGCAAGCCAATAAACCCCTCAGCTCGCTGGGATAACCACGCAGCCAAACCGTTCTTCGAGAGGTTCTCCCGGCAATGCCTGTTTCGTTGGCTGGCGGAGGTCTCAAGGTATGACGATTCCCTGGAGTACAGCGTGCGGTTCAACCACCGCCCCCGAGGCTATTTAGGAGTGCCCCTGTGGTAGGATGGTCTAGAGGCCACTTCTTCTCCTGCCCACTTACCACCTTCAACAACCCGCTCGCCGACAGACTGGACTCGAGAGCCTTCTAGTCCTCCTTCCAATTGTTCAGGTCCAGGGCCTCCCAGATTGAGCTCTGAAGCCAGGCCTGGAATGCCGCCACGAAGCTCCCCATTCGTACTTGGCGACCCCCCGGCCTCCCCTTACGTGTTCAAGCCCGATTCCACAGGAGCAGCGGCCCTAACACCAGCTCGTCGGAGACGATGTTGGGGGTAGAGATCTACTTCCCTGGGGTCGTGCAAGAATGATCCCTATCTGACACACGTTGCGCAACCGCCAGATATCTCTCCTTGCTCACGCCGGTTTTGTCTCAGTGCGGGCTTTTTCTCCGGCGGCACATGTATATAGTAGTAAGGCAGCTGTAAGCACGACCCAGCACCTCCAGCAGTGGGACAGGTCGAAAAATAGATTTCGATACAATTCAATTTAATTCGATAGCAGAGCAGGACTTTAACGAGAACTTAAAGGCGCTCTTCAAGACTTCCAAGATGCTTCTCTCAGTTTTCTTGGAGCCACTGTTGTGCCGCAGCCTCCATGCTGGTGATGTTTTATTGCATGTTTTACCGCAGGCACTCCCACAACTCCTGAGGAGTGCATGGTCAAGTAATACTGTGTAACGCGCTCGTGGTTGTTGTCTTTGCGCACGAGATGGTAAAGGGAGATGAGTGCATAGCAGCGCATTCGGGCCTTGTTGAGAAGTTAATTTTCCGGGCTTGTGGCGTTGTACTCCTCGATGGCTTGCAGCGTAGAGTCAATCCCGCCAAACGGAACGCATGTGTGATCCCAAATATGCCCAACGGCTTCTTTGACAATGGATGACCAGATGCGCATCTTGTCGTATAAACAGCGAATATGGATAGCTTCGTCTTGCTGCATGTTGAGTCCTGATGTGACAGTCTTATGCCACGCCCACCACGCGATGTTGTGGTACCGTGGAAAGTTCAGGCCAATATTGGCGAAGAATTTGTGCAGCCAAGCCTTTTCAAGCTTTTACGCTGCTTTCCCGGATGTTGCACCTGCAGGTCTGATGCTCGGGTTGCGAAGGACAGATGTCCTCAAAGGGCCAAGGGCGACGTTGAAATGGGCGGCCAGCGCTTGCTAGTCCGCAAAATGTCGAAGGTTGCGGGCGCTGTGGATGATCGAAACGCCCCTGAATAAAGCCTACGCCTGCCCAGCCACTCTGTTAAAACGTGCGGATTGCTACTATGAGCATTTAAGAAACGATCCGACCAGGTCCAACCAGGAATGCTGCGCAGCTTTCATGATTTGAGAGCCTTCCCACTAGCTTGCCAGCGGAGGGTGAGGGACTATTCAGATATTTCCAGAAGTGGTGAATGCGGCTAGATAGCCGAGCTGTCAGCGACGTTGCAGAGTAGAGGTTAGTCTTTAGACCTTTTATAGTCTCCATGGTTCGATGCCGAGATTTTTAATAAACGCAAATCCTTAATCTAGACACTTGTCAAGATATTAGCAGTCGTCAATGCCGACACATCGTGGTCCTTTGAAGAGTCGGGCACGGTATTATTCGTACTCAGCACAGTTTGGTCCCTCATTCAGCGGGGAGAGGAAGATTTCGCTACACGTCTTCAACGGTATGGATTTGTTGGAAGACTGTTAACAGGATATTTGTTAGAAGCAGGGTTTCAAATTGACGGTTGTCAGGAGGGTAACACATGCAAAACGAGGCCAAGATCAGCTGGTCCATGTGGTAGTTCATCAAATCGGCCACGATATGTATGCGACCTGCTTCCTCAAACTGCTCTAAAATAGCGGGCTGAGAAACATTGATAAGATTGTGTTTTAATCGATACGTCGATGTTGCAAGATCGGCGGCGATGCGCAGATCGTAAACACAGCGGCCCCACGGGCGCGCGACTGAGCTGAGAGTGCGATATTTGCTTCCTGTTGAGGTCGCATGAGAATCGATGAGTAACGTTATTGGTCGTAAGGAGTGTTAGGGAAGATGGGAGAGGGAGAAAGTGTGGGAGGAGAGTGAGGACTCGAGTACGCAGTCTGCAGTTTAGGCAGACGTTGCTCGGGTCCGCGACGCAGGTAAATATGCCAAGCCGCATCTGATTGGGCAGAATCGTTAACCATTTGCAAGGGTCAACAACGGGTCCTGCACGTAGTGGAATCTACACCCCACGACCAATTAATCGACCAGGACACAGCATACACGGTCCGCACACCCAGCGCGTCTCTCTTCCCTTGGAATATCTTTGTCTTTTTCAGCAGCTGCACGCTTCGTGTCAGATATTGTCCATTTGTGATCTATCTTTCGTACCATGGACCTGACAGTTCTGGGAAATTTCTGGAAACAAGCCGTGCTCCTCTTGAGAGAAGTTATTCTATTTTTTCGACCGGATCCACCCCTGAGGGTGATAGGTCGTGCCCACGGTGACGGCGGGCAATAGCTACTAAAACTAACCTATATACAAGCAACACCGGAGGAAAAGCCTGCACTGAGGCAAAACCGGTGTAAGCCAAAGGGGGGGTGGGGGGGGTTGTGTGTCCTGGATTGAATGGGAGGTTCACACTTGTACGAACCCGGGGATGTGAATCTCCAGCTCCGACACCGACTCCGACGAGTCGGTGTCGGGGTCGATGCCCCTGTGGGACTGGGGTCGCGTACGTAGGGGGAGGTGAAGGGGTCTCAACGTTGGGATAAGGCGCCCAGTGGCGGCATCCCAGGCTTGGCCCCAAAGTTCGATCTGGGAGGCCCTGGACCTGAATAGTTGGAAAGAGGTCCGGAACGCCCTCGGGTCCAGCCTGCCCGCGAGCGGGTTGTTAAAGGTAGCGAGGGGGCAGGAGAAGAAGTGGCCTCTAGACACTGCTCTGCCTCAGGGGCACTCCTTTAGCGCCCCCCCGGGGGTGGTTAAATCGCACGTGGTATTCTGAGAAGTTGCCATGGCCCGAAGCCTCCGCTGGCCAGCGGGAGAGACACTGCCGGGAGAACCTTTCGAGGAAGGGCTTGGCTGTGTGTCCATCCCAAAGGGCCGACGCAGGCTTGTTAGCCCGCCACCATCCACGCATATCTGGGGGAGGCACTCGGCGTCTCTTGGGGGCGTCGAGGGGGAGGCCGAGCCACACCCTGACGCCTAGGCGTTTGGGCTCCCACTGGGGCCTAGCCCCGAGGCCAGAAGCTGCCTGATGCAAACGGGACCAACAGCGGTAAGGGGGTTGGACAAGCCTTACATGCAGAGGGTGATTAGCCGGTAACATCTCGACCCGGCTTCTCCACCGTGCCCGCTCCCTGTCAAGCAGGTGCTCCGGGTAAAACCAGCCAGCCACCAGAGCCACGGGGTCGGTATCGTTCTCCACACCGGGAAAATCGCTCTCAGAGCCGCGTTTGCAACCCTGGCGAGAGATGACAAAACCGTCGCGAGTATGGATGGAATTAGGCGACCGTTAGCCCCGGCCCTAGTCGGGCCTGTATCGAGTTGTACCATGCCGTACAGGAGAGAGGTGGTGACGACTGCGTTGAAAATATTGGGGCCTGCCAATGGGGGGAAGGCCCCGAAGGCTCGTGTTGGATAGGCGTTTGATCAAGCCTACCACCGAGGCCGTCGCCGATGCTCTGGCAGCAGCGTGAGTTACAGGGCTGAGCTTGGGGTTTAGCGAGACTCCTAGCCACTTGATGGACTTTCTCGGGGAGAGGGACACTCCCTCGACCTGAGTTGAGATCCTCGCGGGGTCTATCCTACTTCGCTTCGCCCGGGCCCCGCGGGGAGGGATGTAGAGGACCTCCGTCTTGCTTGGGTCGATCCTGAGGCCGAGCTCCCGGGCCTTAGCGCATAACTGACTGACCCTAAGGGAGGCATGGTGGGCCAGTTGAATCGGGTGCTTACTCCAGGACAGTTGCGCATGGTCGTCCATGTACATAAACGAAGACCCCTGTTGTGAGGGGGTTATGATTGGCAGAGAGTACAGGAAGAACAGTATTAGGGACCATGGGGGCCCTTGCGGGAGGCCCGAGTCCGACTGAAAACTAAATTGTGCCCATTGGAAGGGAAAACGGCGGTCCTGGCAAAAATCGGCTGCTGCCTCGCGCAGCTAGCGTGGCCAACCTTGGTCTGCCAGAACCTCGCGGAGGATCGGCGGTTGGACAAAGGGGTAGGCTGAGTCCACATCCAGGGTGACCAGGAGCCCATGGTAGCCTTGCCTCGACATGGTCTCCGCGTCGTGTACGAGCGCCTGGACAAGGTCCAGTGCGGACCTGGATGGGACAGCCCCCGCGACGTCTGGGGGGAGAAGCCCCGAGTTTAGCGCCGCTGCCGTCATTCTTCGGGCCAGAAGCCTCTCTACACCTTTGCCGAAAGTCGACAGTAGGGTGATCGGCCGCCAGCCCTTGTACGATCGGGGATCCCTCCCGGGTTTTGAGAGGGTGACCACTGTCGCCTGTTTAAAGGCCTTGGGGAAAGCTCCCATTTTATGCAGCCCTCGGCGATGGCCCGGGCAGCTGGGCGCACGAGCTCCCAAGCATGTCTGAGAAAGGCCAGGGGCACTCCATCGAGGCCGGGTGTGTTTGATGTGGCTCCGAGGAAGGCGTCCCTGAGCTCGTCGTCGCTGGACGGGTCGGCGAGCCTCGCTGCCCACTCAGGGGGAAGACGAGGACCGAGCCAAACCGGGCGAGGACCCTCTTGGGCCCCTGCGGGGCGGAAGGCTTGTGTAGCGAGGTAAGCCGCCATCCGCTCCGTATCCGAGATCACCCTCCCGTCCACGACCAAGACGGTGGGTCGGTCGTCCGAATGATCGAAGCGCCATCTCAGTATCTTGCCCCACTCCGCCGGGGTCGAGGCCGAGGAAACTTTCTCCCTGTAGAAGTTTACCTTAGCCTCCTTACAGAGCTTGTGATAGACTATGGGGTCGATCTCCCTAGCCGTAGCCAGCACCTCCGACCACCAGGGAGCGCTTTTCGTGTGTTTGTCGGGGCGGATCGAAAACGGCCTGCCACCCCGGCAAGGGTATCGAACACATCCCACGCGAACTGCTCGAGCTCCTCCCGGGAGTCAAAGGTAACCGGAGCTGGGGGGAGGAGAGACTTCAGTAGATGGGCTACCTCTTCGAAACGGGCCTTAGGGAGACGTTTGGGTGGGGGCAGGCGGCTTGGGGAACGGCTGGGGATCGAAACGAGCAGCGCGCGGTGATCGGAGGCCCAGTGGGCGAACTCTGCGAAGGCTCGGGCCGGGCCAAGGGCGAGGTCAATGACTCCGCCTCCGCGATGCGTAGGGCCTTCCGGGTTGAGGATGTGCAGTCCCCTCGTGGCGATCCACGTCCTGACCATGTCGCCCTTAGGGTTGGGGCATGCACGAGGGTCCCAGTCCGGGTGATGGGCATTGAAGTCTCCCACTACAATGAAAGAGTTGGGATCGATCTGAAGAGAGCGAGGGGTACGTCAAGAGTCAATGGCGATGTCGAAATTGGGATGTAGATAGACGTTGACTATAGTGATCCCTTGGAGGGATACGGTAACTAACCCGTGTTCGGGAGCGGTTGGGGCCGAGACCAGGAGCCGCCGGTCAACGTAGATCGCGGCCCTGGTGGCTCTGTCGTCGATAGCGTAAAGTGTGAAACCTGGGTGACGTCGAACTCTGCCGAAGAGAACCGGAGGCTCCTGGACGCACACCACCTGATACCGGTGTCTCACTGCCCTTTGGAGGACACCGTCGATGTTGGCTAGGGACCTTTGTACGTTAGCTGAGATAATCTTACAGGTCCGACTCATCACTGGAGTCTAGGCTGGTTCTGACGACAATGCAGTCCTCAATATGTTCCTCCTGCTTGGGCTCCGCCTGGGCGGCAGGGCGGGCCCTTTTGAGAGAAGTTGCTCACTTCATACAATCCCTTCGAGTGATTCCGCGTTGACACAACGACCGGTGCTGCGTCAACAAAATCACCTCGTGCGCCCAAGGGGATGGTGCAATTGAAGTGCGTTGCGCCTGAAAGAACCTGCTATGGCCCAGCAGATTGCCTGTTCAAATTCGGCCCACTCCACCTCATTCCCCTGGTCTTTAATCAGCTTAACCCCTACTTCTCCCGCTTGGGCCAGCAGGTACAAGCTACTCAACCGGTCTTCGACCAGCACAACCTCCCACCTTCCCCGCTTGGACCAGCTGGATCAGCGGGCACAAGCTACGCACGAGGTTTTCCCCGGAAAGGGGGGTTTCCCCGCTCAATGTACTCGGTAACTTATTGCCCGCCGTCGCGGGCACGACCAGAGTACCTAGATAGGGTAGATAGTGGTCAAAAATATACATACATACACACCTCTTGCACCCAATAAGTACCCAGTGAGACGAAGTAGGGAAGTTGTGGGATCAAAATTCCACGCATCATTGCATTGGCAATTGCAGGGCACGCCGAATGGGCAATCCCAGGAGTTCGTTGGCATCTGGATTTGAATTTGAATTCTATTTTTCGACTGGCTCCACCCGTGAGGGTCCTAGGTCGTGCTCACGGCGACGGCGAGCAAAAGCTACATACTGGACTATGTAAATGTTGCACTGCGGAAAAATCCTGCGTCGAGGATAAAATTCGTGAGAGCAAAGAGGAAGGAAGGGTGAGGGTTTTGCCAAGGTTGGGACGGGGCTACCCCCGTGCGGCTTGGGAATTTGGATCTCCAACTCAGACAGTGACTCAGAAGAGTCAATGTCAAGCTCTCTATCTCTGTAGTGTTGGGCTCAAGCACGGAGGAGGGGTCCGGGGGATCGCAGCGTCAATATGGGTTGCCCCATGGCAGCATTGAAGGCTTGGCCTTGGGGCTCGATCTGGTAGGCCTCAGATCTGAACAGTTGGAAGGAGGACCAGAAGGCTTTCGGGTCCAGCCTCCCCGCGAGCGTGTTGTTGAAGCAAGGGGGCAAGAAGAGAAGTGGTCTTTAGATAGCACTCGGCCACAAAGGCACTCTTTGGTCGCCTCTGGGGGATGGTTAGACTGTACGTGGTACTCCAGGAAATCACCATGGCCTGAGGCCTCCGCAAGCCAGGGAGAGGCATTGCCGGGAAAATCTCTCAAGAAAGGATTTGGCCGTATGTCCGTCCCAGCGGGCTGAGGGGGACCTGTTAGCTTGCCACTAGCTCCTCATATCCGGGGAAGGCACCTGACATTTCCTTGGGGCTTCAGGGGAGAGGCCGAGACCACACCCGGTACCTGGGCATCGGGGCTCCCATTGGGGCCGGGCCCCTAGACCTGATGCTGCTTGGTGCAGACGGGACCAGCCGCGGTAGGGGATCGGGAGAGCCTAGCCTGCAGGGGGTGGTTGGCCGGTAACATCTCGGCACGGCATATCCACCGAGCTCGCTCTCTATCCAGCAGATACTCCGGGTACAGGCCGGCCAGCCACCATAGCCACGGGGTTGGGATCGTCCTCCACGCCGGAAATATCACTCTGAGAGCCGCATTTGCAACCGGTTGGCATCTTATTGCTGGTCTCGGACACCTTACCTGACTCCTTGCTGCAGTGCCAATGTGGTTTCGTCCTTCCGGCAGTGAAGTACCTAGGCACTGGTTAATCGAAGCTCCTGCAATGCTTGTACAATCGCATCCACTCACAATTACCAATCTGTCTGCTGTCGTCCAGGGTATAATCCAGCTCTTGATTTGGCGACTATCCGAGGACTCTCCTTATTTTATCGTGGCTTATCTTCTCCACTTGCCACGCTCGGCGGCACGTAATTTGGTATCATATCACGCTGGCGGTGTTGAATCCCGGGCCGCCCGAGATGGAAACACTGTCTTTATGTAAAACGCAGTATGCATTGTTCAGCATTATAATTACTATGCAAGTACAAGTCGCGCAACCAACGCCGATACAACATCGTTTCAAAGGGGTATCACTTCATCTAAAACGACAACCATCGCCAATTCATCCAAGACCTACTTACTTCTCGGACTTTCCCCTCCACTCCATGATTTCCTTTGTGCTGGGCAAAAAGAGCTCTGAGTCTCCCTTCCCGCTGGTCAGCCCGCGGAGCGATGAGACATACTCACCGCGCTTCTGGATGAGAAAGGCCAGGGCGAGTGTGGGCTGAACATTGCGCTTAGTCGACGTCGTGTGTCGCCGGCGGCCTTTTATCCTATTTTCCTCTGCCGTATGCATTTCTTGATGAAACAGTGCTCGAGAAACTGCGGAGGCAAGCTGCCGGGCGTGGGCCTCGTGGATAGTCCCATGGGCGTCCAGCAAGACTTCGGCAAACAACGTCAACAACAGTTTGGTCAGATTGCGGGCAGGCGTGGACAGTCGGTTGAGCGCTTCCGTCCAAAAGTCGAGACCAGTCTCGACACGTGGACAAGACGGTTCAATTGCGCCATACTGCTTGCCAAGCAAGATCCATGATTTGAAAACCGACGCGGGAATCAAAGGCTTTGGTAATTCCTCAAGGAACAAAAGCACGAGTCGCGCAGCGTCATGTACAGTGTAATCGTAATCCTCGAAGCGAAAGTGCAGGCCGTATGATGGGGCCTGGTTGAATAGCGCTTTGAGCGCGGCGATGTTCGCAGGGTCACCGGGAGAGAGAAATACGTCCCGGTGTGCTTCCATTAACGTTAGAAGTTCCATATCAATCACAACAAGTGCCAAGGGCGTTGAAGCTCACCATTGGCTCGTATAAATTCGCAACACTTGTACACGCAAGTCGGATATGTGCGGTACGAGGTACTGCGGCCTTTGTGCAATATCCTGATCTTCATGGGCGCAAGGCGCACGCTCTCCTTCAAGTCGACACCAAACACAGTCGGGGCTTTGTCATCAGGTACCCAAGGCATGCGCAACAACTTCGAAATACGGTTGGGCTCGGATGGCAGCGGTAGCGGCATCTCTGAGGATTTTTGCGCGCTAGTTCGAAGCCGAAACAGCTTCACTGGTCCCGAAGTCTGTGAGCCATTCTCAAGCGACTTGATGCTCTGCGGGGCGCTCTCTGCGGTAGGAAGCCTGACGCCCTCGGAGCTTTCTGCAAAGGAAATCTCGGTTGGGGTCATCGATGCCCCGTCATCAATGTCTTCGTCTCCAGCAGGAACCATACTGATCGGCTCAAACGCTCCTAGATGGAGGTCGGGAAGACTAAGTTGGGTGAGTGGCAGGAAGAGGTCGTCGAGGTTGGGTGTTCCAGGATCTTCGGAGCAGGTCGAGAGGGACAGAGTGGTGTCGCTCTCGCACACCAGGTCAGGCACGTCACATGGGTGGGCACAAGGAAACCGTGATATCCTGCAAAACGTTATTGTCGTTGCTGATTGGGGTGACGCTGAGGCCAGGAGCGGGGGCGATAGTTTTGCCGGGTCTTGCAACGTCAAGGTTGGATCGCTAGCTACGGTCGAGATCCTTGGGTCCGGGCGATCCGCGCTGCTGCCAGCATCATGATTTTGGGTGGAGGTGTGATGGATATTGCTGGTGAACTCGTGGATCCCTTCATCTCGGCCAACGTATTTGACCGTCTGCACCGAGCTGCGCTGGCTGTCGTGGGCGTGTTGTGTCTTGAGGGCTGATGCGTGGCGGCAGAGTTCGACGACCGAGTCCCGGGAAGAGCTTGAAGATTGTGGGCCGCCCGCAACGGCCCCCCACCTGTTCCACGCGACAAGCTGGTCGCGCAGGTCATCGTCTAGGACCAGATTGATACTCATGATTGCAACGTTGCAATTTCCGGGTCTGGCGGTCTGTCACAACATGCTTTGCTAATGACCATGTCTGCAGTCAGTTGTCGACATGTGGTCAAGGCACTCTGCCTATATGCTCAGTATACGTAACGATAGAGATGAGTCCCCGAAAGCTGAGGAGTTGGAGGGCGTGGTGGTCAAGGCGGAAGACACGGAAAGGCTCGATATAAATCGAGCCCCTGTAAGGGGGTGCCCAGGGCCGGAGAATCACGGCAAACAGCTGTGTCGGTGGGAGGGTTGAACTGTCAATGTTCGGGTCCTGAAATCCGATCTCAAATCGGAGGTAGCTTGGAAAGGAAAGACTGTTGCTGCACGCACAGACTAGCGAGCGCATGGATTTTGAATGCGGGGGGAGCGCCGGCACTTTGGCGAACTAAGATAGGCGTCAAGATGTTGAAGCCGAGACTCGAAGACGCTGTTGCTCGGCTGCACCATCCTGCATTTCGAGCCGTGCCTTAATGCCCACCATCACGGCTCCTTCTCCCTCCTGTCGCTCCACAGCCGCCCCCTCCGAACATTTTGGCTACTTTTGTACTCGTCATTGTGCCTGGTGCTGTCTACAATCGCCCGACTAAGCCACCCACGTCACTACAGCAAGGGAACACTGAAACGGACGCCTCCAGTTCCACCAGCCTAAGCTAGTTTCAGGATTAACGTTGCGAGCCTACGATACGCCCTAAGAGAAAATCTTGAATCTGCTCAACGGCCAGCCCAGAACGGGGGAGTTCAAAAGGCTGTTTGACATATCTGACTAATGTCTCCTCTCCTGGCGCTATCGTTATATACTTGGTACGGGCATTTGTTGCGAGTTTGAACGCGCAGCACCCAGTAGTTATCACCCGTCAACACCCATGCTGCTCTGTTTACGATGCGTGATGCCAATCGCTGACTTGCTTCCGCCCGTCGCAAGTAACGGGCAGCCGGGCGTTGCACAAACAGCTGTCAACCATGGTTTGGTGGCCCAACACCAGTATTTAGCAATTGAGCGAGCCGATGGCTTCCTGGCACAGGGTGACAAGTCCAGTGCCTCTCCCCATGTTGATCAGGATCGCCTCATAAGCTTCCTTACAGTCGGGGCGTTATCTGCACTCTGCATGGAACATGTTCAGGTGCAGCCTTCCCAGGTTAGCTTTGAGATGCGGGGCACTGGAGGTCCAATTGCGCTGAAACAAGGATCATGGCACAGCAAGCTGACGGCATGACGTCTGAGCTGTGCAGCCCTGGTCATCGTAATGATCCTCAAGCGAGCCGACCTCGGCTAGAAACCCAGACAGATTGTCAAATAACACCTAGTGTAATTGCGCAGATCTTGATGTTCTTTTTAGAAACACGCCAAGTCAAACACCTGCGTTAGCTTCGGAGCTTTGATTAAGAATGGCACAGCAGCATCGATCCTTCGACCCCGGGCTTTCAATAGCTCAAGTCACATGCACTGAAACTCCGTTCAAGAACAAGAGTCGCCGACTAAAGAACGCTGGTTGGTTAATCCATGCACCTAATGGAGAGGTCTTGCTCATGCCTCGCTACACTCTCTCAAATTCCAAGATCGACCTGACGGTGTCGACGACGCTCTCTTCCAAGCTCGTGTACTCGATCCCCAGCACCTCCCTCGACCGCCGATTGTCGAACTTCCAGTGGTTTTCTGGGAAATCGTCTGTGACTGTGGTTTCCTCAGGCAGCCGGTTCTTCAACTCTGGAAAGTGCTGTCGGACGATCTGCACTAGCCGAGGGTTCGAAAAGAAGCCGCCAACCACGTAAAACCGCTTTCCCCCTGCCTCCGGCACTGTCAGTGCACGCACGTGTGCCAATGCAACGTCTCGCACGTCAACAAAGGTGAAGACGGGATAGGTTGCCGGTACACCCAGCTCGCACCAATGGCCATGCACGAGGTCGCGTATCCGGTGGTTGGACGTGTTGAGTGCTTCCAGGCCGGCTAGGCTACGAGGGATCGGTCCGAACGTGTACGTGTTGTTGATGGCGACGAGGTCAAAGCCCGGAGATTCGACTGCCACAAATTTCCACGCCGCCGACTCGGCAAAAGTCTAGCTCGTTATTAGCAGAAGATACAATTAAAGTCGGAGAACTGGTCTGAAACTGTCTCACTTTACTGGCTGGGTACGTGTACCTCTGATCCATCGCCATCTCCCACGTCACATTGCACCAGCTCGACTCGTTATACACTGCTGGATGTTGTGGCGGATCGCCAACCTGAAGCATTGCTGCAGAGGAGGACGTGACCACGACACGCTTGACCGATGGTGCATGTTTTTTAATAGATCGCAATATCCCCGTTGTTCCTTTGATGGCTGGATCAAGACAATCGTGCACAGGGTCATTGAAGTGCAGCTTGTACGGCGATGCTGTATGAACAACATAGGCAAACTTGGCAACTTTGACAGCCTAACTCGTCAGTTGGAGTTGACTCGAGCCTTGCAGTGCTTACCTCATCGAAGGCGCCTTCTTCAGCAACGTCCTCGACCACAACATACGAGACGCGGGTGCGCAGGCTCTCGCGGGTCGACTCTAGAATTCGCTGCCCTTTTTCCGGGGATCTTGCCGTCACCACCACCTCATAGCTGTTGAGTCAGTTTTGATCATGTTGTTTCGTTCGTGACATACCCATGATCCAGTAGACAGTCGAGAACGTGCGATGCGATGAAGCCCGTTCCTCCTGCACTTGTCAGCCATGCCGTAGCGAGAGATAGCGATCCTTACCTGTCAACAACACTTTCTCGCCGGCCTCTTTGGTCATGTTGACTTGTCAGCCTGTGGCTTTCATGGAAAACAGTCGTCAAGACAGGAGAGAACCTGAAGTCTAAGGCAGGCCGAGGGGGTGCGATATGTGTTACACGGAAGGAAGGCCTAAGGTAGCTGACGGACTCCCCACTCGAGACCGAGACTTAACCCCGGCACTTTCATCAAGAACAAGCGACCCTGTTAACAGTTCATCGCACTATGCAATTTATCCAGCCATGACCGATAGCAGCAAATCGGAGTTTCACGTCGCCATCATCGGCGCCGGCATTACCGGCGTCAACTTAGCCCTCGCACTCCTGCATCGGGGTGTGCGTTACACTATATACGAGCGCTCGCCGGGCTATCGTGAGATCGGCGCGGGAATCGGCTTTAGCCCAAACGCGGAGCGAGCCATGCTCAGGATTCATCCTGAAGTGTTGCCAGCCTTCAAGCGTGTGGCCAATCCAAACGGCAAGGACTACTTCCAGTGGATTGACGGTTGTCGCCCCGATGACCTCCTGCTGTGTCGTCTGTTCGTTGGTGAGAATGGCTTTCAGGGCGGTCGCCGCCAGGACATTCTCGAAGAATGGGCCAAGCTAGTGCCCCGGGATACCGTGCAATTTGGAAAGGAGATCCGAGACATCGAGGAACCGGAGAAGGGTCCCTTGACATTACACTTCCAGGACGGTAGCACCGCCCATGCCTCTGTCGTTGTCGGTTGTGATGGTATCCGCTCGCGCGTTCGCCAACTCATCTTGCCGCCTGGCTCACCGGCTGCACATGCCTCATACACGGCAAAGTACTGCTTTCGTGCCCTGGCCCCAATGTCCGCTGCGGTGGCCTCCCTAGGACCTTACAAGCCGTCCACCCGCTTCATGTACATCGGCCCCGGCGCGCACATCATCACTTACCCTGTCGGCAATAACACTCAACTCAATATGCTTGCTGTCGTGTCCGAGAACGGCTCTCCCGACCCATCACGCTGGCCACTCGCCCCGGGTAGCCATCACACCGCACCGAGCGTACGCGAGGAACTCGAACGCGCATTCACCGAAGAGTGCGGCTTCTACAGCCATACAGTACACAAAATTGTACGACTCTTTCCCGAGCGCCTCGACAAGTGGGCCATCTTTGACATGGCTGAAAACCCAGCCCCGCAATACCATCGAGGCAGGATCTGCATAGCGGGAGATGCCGCACATGCGTCTGGTCCACATCTTGGAGCTGGTGCTGGTATGGGCATTGAGGATGCACTGGTACTGAGTGAAGTGATTGCCAGAGCAGCAGGAGGGGGCGAATGGTTAGTCGAAAAAGCACTTGAGGCATTCAATTCACTGAGGTACGAACGTACCCAAGAGGTCGTCCATATGACGCGTGAGTCGTGTGAGCTGTTTCACTGGCGCAGGCCCGAAGTCTCTGGCGACCCACAAAAGTTTGTCGCCGAGATGGAGAGGCTGTTTCATCGGGTTTGGCACTATGACATTGAAGAGGCTATCAGGCAGGCGTTGTCAATCGTGGAGGGCCACAAGGCCGGTCGTCTTTGACGGTTTGTTAAACTGGCATACACATAAGGCTTTCTGTTGACATTAACAACAATAAACATACATCATAACTTCCAAGCTGTGTGCAATCAGGCTCCAATATGTGTTCCTGTTTGATGACTCAACGAGTCAAAGAACTCTTCCTCATGCAACAGCGCTGGTCGAAGTTGAAGTGTCACAAAACGCTTACCTCAATCACCCACCAGTCGGACAACTTCATCCTCATCCCCATCTCCAGTTCCCTTTCAGATAGTCTTTGTCATAAGGGTCTGAAGTACAAGGATCGCCGTAAGCATCCATTTGTATGGCTCCTTATGATATAGGGATCTTACCAGTTTCGGTCGAGCATTTCTTTAGACGTTCAAGCAGATTGACAAGATCACGGTAAACTGGAGTCGGCGAGGAATCATCTTTGGCTTCATGTTGCTGAGTCACCATTAATTGTGAAGTCGAAGTTGGGGACCGCTCCGTCGTTGAGGTCACTTCGCTTGGTGTCGGTTGCATCATTGCGTCATCGCTGGCCTCCGACGCTGCTTCATCATTGGCAAAGCTGGTGCATGGGAATTTAGCTTTTAGCAGTTCCTCAATATGCACTTCCCAAACACACGATAGAAACAGTTTCACCAATGATCCTCCATTGGTATAGTCCGTTAGGTTGCGCTCAACCTGAAGACTTGACGGGTTCTGCAATGCAGCTTTGATGCAAACCTTAACAAATCCTGGAAACCACACGTCATCACCAACAGATGTGGGATACGAAATCTTTGCGGCATCAAAGAGCTCGAATGGGCTAAATTTGGCGGCCAATGACTCGAGTTCTTCCCGGGCCAGCACTTCTAGACCAGGAAGAACATACGTCCGCGCAAGAGCGTAGATCTCCAGCAACAATGCTAACTTCTGCTGGGGAGGGGGTCCATTGTTTGAGCCATGTCCATGACAGTCAAGACTGCCACAGTAGAGGTAGTTGACGAGAGCGTGACCAGCTTGGTAAGATGTCGAGGGTAAATCGATCTTGTGATCCCACTGCTTTACTGCCTGCAGTTCCTCCTTTAACATTGGGATACGGAAGAGGATATCCCGATGGATTTTAAGGCATTTCTGATGCTGAAATTTAATCTCGACGAGCGGACTGCTGAACCACCTTCAGAATTGTCAGCATTTATTGACAGTTAAGACTGCAAGGTAAGTGTCGTCGCGTTGCCAGTAATGATTCAACCTACGATACGAAACCCGGGATAATGTGTTGCTGGTGATTAAGTGAGCCCATATTTGACATAACTTCGCTCGTATGCTCATGGAATACGAAAGAACTCGAAGTTCCAGAACAAATTGGAGAAGAATAAAGCGAGCTTGTTGCGCGCGCTCCATTTATTGTTCAGGAATGCAAACAGCTACCTGTAACCACCTGCGTTTGCTGCAAGTACTTAGCCGTACTGCATGAGGGCTTTGAGTGGATACTTGTAAAGCAACCACTTATTTATTTGTATTTTTTGACCGCTTCGCCACTGAGGGTACTAAGTCATTGTCCACGGCGCCCGGCGAGCAAGAGTATCCAAAATACATTGAATACAGGTGCTTACTCTTATCGATAGGTGAGCAAGCATCAGTTGTTGGAGCCATGGATGCTTCCGTCATGTCTGACATCATCTTCGTTCCATTCGCAGTGAATGCAGAATATCGTTGGCAAATGGGATTTTGCGGATCGCGTTTCATTGTTGGAACGCAGCAGGGTAGAATATGTACCCGTCTTTTTTTCACCCGGGAGCATAAATTAAACATCGCGGCAGTGCTGACAGACAACCCACGTTTCGAGGACCGTCATTAGGTGGCATTGCCAAGTCCGCTAGGCACCAGAATTGACCATTTTGCACTTGCTTCTTGGCGCGCGCCCTGTAAGCGTGAAGCTTTTAAGCTAGTATATAACTGAGTTTTTATCTCGAGTTCTCGAGCTCTCTTGAGAACTTTCAATTTTCATTTCACCTACGTACTCGTGTTATTCACCTCAACATTGACCATCATGGATAAATCCACACCACCACCATCCCTTCCCCATTTGTCGGCTCCGCCTCCGGACTATGATCCTGCCCCTCCTTCTCTTCCTGATCCAGATGAGATCCTCCCGCCAGCAATATTGACCCTCCACGGCCGCTTCATCTACCCGGTCCAGCCGTGCGGCACGCCGTCGTCAAATCCTCTCTACCAGCTCTCGCGCGCTATCCACGCACAGGGCCGCGCGACCGAGTCCATTGACTTCCAGCGTCTCGATTACCGCGTACACAACAGCGATGGCTTGGTGGGGCCCTCAGTGACGCACCGCGCGCGCGACGTCTACACGCTACTTCACCGACCACCGATGTTCGATTACGTGCCGCTCGACGCGCGCATTGCGCCGCCGACGACGAATCTGAAGCGTAACATGGGTCAACTAAAGGTGCTGGTGAGTCTCTGGGCACCATACCTGCCTGGGAAGAAGAAGTTTCGCGTGGTGCGTGTGCCGCCCGAGGATGACCAGGCGATATGGCGTCTGCGCGGAGACAAGGAGAAGCTGAAGGAGAAAAATTGGGAGACGGTGTTTCAGTTGAGCAGAGAGCATGACAAGGAATGGTGCTGGCACGATTCCGAGGGTAGATTGTTAGCGAGACAGATGGAGCAAGTCAGGAAGGCAGGTGAAACTGAGGAGACGGAGCAAGAGCACCAGCTGCGCATCTTAGTGCCGCTTCCTCGGAAGGAGATGGATGCCCTGGTCGCATTGTGGTGCTTGTGGATGTGGCATCTCCACGTCGAGGCCACGCCTGTGAAGAAGACGCTGGATGATGGTAAGTGCTGGCTCCAAGACCGAGTAATAATATGGGGCTGACAGCCACAGTGCGGCGAATCATGGCTGCGGCGCCCGGTGTGTGGAGATATTAGGGATCCGCGAGAGATAAGGAGGCTTAACGAAGTTAGGTTGACCTCAACCTGAGACCCAGAATACCACATCAATTCACTGATGTTCGGTAATGCAGTCAGCCACGGGCATGTGCCGTCCCGTCTCCAGAGAGCCATCCTCTGCGGGCCTAATCCACTCTTAAAGACCTAAACTCATGTCAGTTCAAATGACTTATCTGTTTCTTCCTTCCCTGGGGGTTTAAGTAGAGGGTTCACTTGCAAAGAGCATTCAAATATCTGTAACTTAAAGCAAGATAACATACGTATCTTAACAGTATTGAATTGAATTAAATTCTATTTTTCAACCGATCCCACCCCTGAGGGTGCTAGGTCGTATCCACGATGACGGCGGACAATAGCTACCTCTTAACCTACATACATGTAACACCGGGGAAGACCCGCGCTGCGGCAAAACTAGTGTGGATTAGGGGGAAGGCATGCAGGGGGTTGTGTGTCGTGGGTCCGGGGGGGGGGCGCCAGTCTCGCGCGATCCCGGGGATATGAATCTAGCTGTGACACCGGCTCGGCCGAGTCGCTATCGGGGTTGCTGCCCACATGGGGCCGGGGTTGGGCACGCAGAGGGGAGCCGGGAGGGGGCGCCACGTCGGGATGGGGAGCCCGTAGCGGTGTCCCAGGCCTGGCCTCAGAGCTCGATCTGGAAGGTCCTGGACCTGAAGAGTTGGAAGGAGAACCGGAAAGCTCTCGGGTCCAGCCTATCAGCAAGTGGGTTGTTGAAGGTGGTGAGGGGACAGGAGAAGAAATGGCTCCTGAACATGACCCTGCCGCAGGGGCTCTCCTTTATCGCCTCCAGGGGGTAGTTGAACCGCACATGGTAGTCCAGGCTATCGCCGTGGCCCGAGGCCTCCGCTAGCCAGCGGGAGAGGCACTGTCGGGAGAAGCTCTCGAGGTAGGGCTTCGCTGTGTGCCCGTCCCAGGGGGGTTTGTTAGCCTGCCACCACCCACGCATGTCTGGAGGGGCCACGCGTCGTCTCTTAAGGGGAGTCGGGGGGTGCGACTAGCTTGGCCGCCCACTCGGAGAGGCGGGGCCGGACCAGGTTGGCCAGGGGCTCTCCTGCGCCCCCGCAGGACGGAAGGCTTGGGTGGCCAGGTAAGCGGCTACCTGCTCTGTACCCGAGATCACCCTTCCGTCAACGACCATCACCGTTGGGCAGGTTGTCTGTGGGGCCAGAACTAAGTATTCTGCCCTACTTCGCCGGGGACGAGGCCGAGGCGACCTTCCCTGTAAAAACTCACCCTGGCCTTCTCACAAAGGTTGCGGTAGACTATGGGGTCCGTCTCCCTAGCGGTAGCCAGCACCTCCGACCACCAGGGGGGAAGCTGCTCGGGGGACGGCTCGGTATGGAGACCACCATCGCCGGTGGTCCGAGGCCCAGTGGGCCCACTCCGTAAAAGCTCTAACCGGGCCGAGGGCCAAAGTCGATGACCCCACCGCTGCGATGTGTTAGCCCCCCCGGGCTGTGGATGAAGCGGCCCCTGGCTGCTATCCAAGCCCTCAGTTTGGGCAGGTGCGGGAGTCCCAGTCGGGGTGATGGGTGTTGAAATTTTCTACCACCACTGTAGTGTCGGGGTCAATGTGGAGGGACCGTAGGCTGTGCCATGTTTCAATAGCGATATCAATGTTTGGATGTAGGTAAACGTTGACGATGGTAAGTCCTTGCAGTGAGACTGAGACTATGCCGTGCTCGGGGGAAAAGGGGCAGATGCTGAGAATCGGTGGTCGACATAGACCACAGCTCTGGTCGCCCCGTCGTTAGCCCGGTGGAGGAGCCGTGTCGAGGGGCTGCCAGCCGACCACCCCTTCAGGTCCGACTTCGCCGATCCCCTACCAAGGCTGGTCTCGCCTACATCAGGCGGCAGCGGGTCTCGGGGCCCAGCCCCGATGGAAGTCGCGTCGCATGGGACCTAGAACGTGGTTTGGTCTCCCTCCAAACCCCCCGAAAAGGCGCCGGTACCCTTCCCAGATATGAAGAGCTGGTGGCGCGCCAACAAGTCTCCGTCGGCCTGTTGGGACGGGCACACAGCGAAGCCGTTTCCAGAGAGCTTTTCCCCGCAATACCTCGCGCGATGGCTTGCAGAGGCCTCAGGCAACGGTGAATTCGTGGAGTACCACGTGCGGTTTTAACACCCTCCTGGGGCGTTCAAGGAGTGCCCATGCGGCCAACTGGTGTCTAAAGGCCACTTATTTTCTTGTCCACTCACCAAGTTTAACAACCCGCTAGCAGAGAGACTCGATACTAGGGCTTTCTGGTTCTCTTTCAACCGTTCCCATCTAGAGCCTCCCAGATCGAGCTCCTTGGTCAAGCGTTCGACGCGTCCACAGGACAACCCATTCCGACGTTACGGTCCCCTCGTTCCCCCTTTCGCGTGCGGGTCCAGCGCTACGAAGACAGGGAGCCCGACACCGACTCGGAGGAGTCGGTATCGAAGCTGGAGATCCAAATCCCACTTGCTCTGCGGGAGTAGGTCTCTGCCCCTCCCGAGTATCCATTTCCCCCCCTCCTCCCCCCTCCCTCCGCTACCTTCTTCCGCACAGGTTTTCCCCCTCTCGGGTTTTTTTCCCAGTGTGACATGTATATAGTAGTGTAGCTATTGCTCGCCGTCGTCGTGAGCACGACCCAGCGCCCCCGGGGGTGAAGCCGGTCGAAAATATATTCCAAAATCCAAATCCAAGCCCCGTCGTTAACGGCGTACAGGGTAAAGCCGGGATGCCTCCTTACCTTGCCGAAAAAGACTGGGGGCTTCTGGATACAGACCACTTGATAACGATGCCTAACTGCCCTCTGTAAGACACCGTCGATGTTGGCCAGGGACCTTTGGACGTTGGCTGAGATAACTGTACAGGTCCGAGTCATTGTCTGAGTCAAGGCCCGTCCTGACTACTATGCAGTCTTCCGTGTGGTTCCCTTGACCGTCGGCGTCCTGGGCCCGGGGGGGGGGGGCGGATTGGTGGGGACCGGGCGCCTGGGACCCGGACCCCTCAGCCTGACCCTCCTGGTGTGCTCTGTCTCTTTCTCCTTGCGGAGCTCGGACCACTTCTTTAAAAGGAAGCGCGCTGTCTCGGAGCTCCAGAAGGCATCTAGAACCACTGGGGTGGACGCCAGCCTGTTCTCCCAGAGGCGGGTACCCGAAATTCACCAGCTGGGAGAAGTCGCAGCATTTCTTGTCGATGACGCTAGACCTCTCTTTGATCACTGGCTCTTCTGGCCATCTGGAGGCCGCTAGGGTGAATGCCTTCCGAAGCCTGTTGCGGACTTCTTCCCTGGGGATGGGGGACCCTCGGCCTGCCGCCGCCCCCAGAGCGGGGTGTTGAGTTGGCCGGGGCTCCGGGGTTGGTGGGAGAGGCGTTTGGGCCCTGGATACCGGAGTCCGGGCCAGTTTCCCTTACCTCTGATTGCAGGGGCTCCGAAGCCCTTCGGTAAGGGCTTGTGGGGCGTCGGGCAGGTCACCCTCGTCCCAGTTGGCCGGGGTCAGCGAGCTTTTTGGGGCCCCAGAGGGTGCGTCGTGGCGGGACGGTTGGGGAGGGCGCGGGCGATGGAAGTTAGAGGCTGCTTCTTCGGGCAGCCCTATATACCGCCTGGCCGGCCTTTCTAACGGCCTTCCGCTGAGCGCCTGTGAGCTTTATCACCCTGCCTTGCCAGATCCTCGGCTTATCGGGGCAGTCTTGGTGCCCGGGTCTGGCGGGCTGAGGCAATTAGGGCATTGGGGGAGCGCGAGGTGTTGAGTGTGGTTGTGGAGGGGGCCGCCGCACTCCCCGCAACGGGCGCTCGAGCGGCGCTTGTCTTTATGATGGAAGCCGAAATAGCTTCCACAAGTATGGATCCTTACTTTGCGTTTCAGGAGAATAAATGGGTCAGAGTCGAAGATCATGAACGGTGTGACTTTCTTGGTGAGGACCACAAGGTATGCTCTTGGTGTGTCCCTCACTGCGTGTATGCTGAGTTTCTTCTTAGTGACAGCCTCGACCTCGTCAGCGATCAAAGGGTAGGTGTGCCTGCGGCTACCGTCATGTGCTAAGATGTACTCCGGGACGTTCTTCACAAGATAAGCGTAGGTCGGCATCTCCAAATCGATGCGACAGTTGAGCTCCCTGGCTTTAGCGGCAAACGGTTCACGGAGCTCAGGGTGGGATACCTCGATCGCAAAGCCGGAATTCACAGGGTAAACCTTGACTATGTCGCGCCTTGGGAAGTTGAGCCTCTCGACTAAGAGGGTGATAATACCGGCTGGGGTGGCCTTCTGCTAGTCTGGGTGGCTCTGTCGACCCTGAGGAAGACACGACGGCTGGGTCCCTCCGAAGCCGCTTCATACCTCGCTGTGAGGGACTCAGGATTGCCCGTCTGTGAGGGTCTAGTTGGTTGGGGGCTGCCCGTCCCGTGGTTGCTGCCTGGGCGTATGAACGTGGTACACCTTGGTTGGCTGGGGTGGCCGAACTCTGTGTCGCGGTCGCCGATGTCGGGTTTTGAGAGGGTTAGAGCGGATTCTGCGGGATTCTAATGGGCTCCGGGGGCGAAGGGGGAGGAGGTGAGACCGGCGTCCCCTGGGCCAGCGTGGCCTGAATGAGAAAGAGTGAAACTTCGAAATAATGGGCTTTCCGATCTTCTTCTCCAGGCTCACTTCAAGTTTTCGCTCGACGTCCTCGACGACTCGCAGGAGTTTCTCGGTGACGGAGATAACGGTGTTGAGCTCCTTCAACTTCTCCTCGCGGGCCCTTTTAAGAGCAGCGAGAACGACCGCGCTCGAGGGGGCCATCTCGGAGAGGATGCTCGAGAGCCTTGGTGTTCAGTATCAAATCGCTCAGGTTAACCACTCCTGATTGGTTTATCCCAACGTCGCCTCCTCTGATTGGCTGGATCTAGGAATCAGAGGAAGAAAACAGGGAACGGTTGGTATCTTAACAGTAGTGCGCTGCATAATTAAAGGTGTAGGCATTGAACTTGCCCTCGGGAACTTCCGTCGTAGCGATGTGAAAGGTCTATTGCACACGTAAGGTAAAACAGTCTTCGGTGTCCCCATGTACAAGACAATGAATAAGCGTGTTAAAACAAGACTAAGCATCAGGTATGACTGAGCCTTTCCTATGGTCAGAACAATCCATTATTGTTAACTATATCTCTATTCCCTTTACACATGCGACAAGATCCGTGCCAGTGATGTGGCCCCTTTTGCTCTGACATGATCCTCCCATCCGTACTTGATTGCCCTCCAGCCCTTGAGTTTAACAATACAACGATATCAAACCCAGAAAGCAGCCAAAACAACAAAGTAATGTATAGGTTCCATGTTCGACACATGTTTCGGTTCTTCAAGTTGAGCCAAGCAATTTCCACAGAACCATCAGTAAGCTCCAATCCATCTCACGGAGAGAACGGCGACCTTTATGACCGAAGCGGGGGAGACTAGGATCAGAGTTGGATTGAAGTTGGATGGACGTGGGGACAGCTCCATGTCTCGATACATGGCCATGGACCAACGGCTTAAAAGAACGACAAACAAACAAACAAACAATGTGAATGATGAGCCCACGGAGAGCTGGTTAACGTCGATGTCGTGCAGCATGCAACCATTAAGAATCATGTGTTTTCATGCAGGCGATCCGTTTCTGGCAAGGTCGCACCCTCTCGACAGGACGGTGCAGCGTTAATGCAACTGATGTTGGCTTAGCCAGGCTGAGAGCAAACGAGGCCTCCTGCGAATCGACTGGAGTCGGGTTGCATCATGCTGCGATGAAGTCCTTGCGATGCGTTAGCGTTTGAGATGGAGGAGGAGCCCTGTCCCTGATTGGCCACTACCCCAACCAGCTGATCACTCCAACGGTCCCACATGGTCGTGAGGTCGTAGTGTTGGCTCTTGACAGCATCATGACAAGGTCATCTATGGGGCTTTAAATGGACCTCGCGATACCCAACCACCCTGGGCGACATACTCAGGCAGCTAGCTGTCTATCTAGATCTGTCCTCCTACCCGGTCATGCCTCAAATCAAGGTTTCACGAACGTTGCGCACCGTCAGAATAGTCCCCATAAACGTGACTGTGTGCATGATGTCCGCTTCCTGACTGCGTTGAGTAGCCGGTGTCTGTGACCGAGTAGCTGTCCCAGCCCTGTCGTGGGCTGGGCTGCGTTAACGAATGTGTGTACCCGCTTTGGCTGTGCGAACTGTGCGGCACAGGAGCAGGCAGGCCATAGGGAGATGGCAGGCTGTGGGTAGTTCGATGATCGTAGACGACCGGCAGCGATGACATACGCAGGCTGCTTCCAGCGACCGGTGAGTTTGGCTTAAGCTTCGGTGCCGGGCCATAAGCCGGAGGCCACGTGGATGACGTACCGGCCAGAGAGCGGGGACTTGTGAGAGAATCGTGATGTCCATAGCCTGAAGGATCTGTAGTGGCTGTCGAAGTCGACGAGACGGGCGTCGGGGGAAGCCCGGAGTACGGTCCAGGCATCGATCCATGCGCTGAGCCAGGAGGAATAATGGGCCCGGTAGAGGCGCTGTACTTGGAGATGATTTTGTGTAGAGCTCCAGCTAAGTCCTTCCACTGAAATACCTTAACGTCCTTCTCGATGTTGCGAGGTTTGGGGTTTCCAAAGCCCATGATGACCTTGAAGAATTCTTCGCTCTCAGGCCTTGACTTGCTGACAGTGGCCGGGCGAAAGCCTTCAAGGTTTCGGCGGATACGGTTCTTCTCGTCGACACCAAAGCGGTTGGGCGCAGCGAGCAGCTGTTCAAGTAAGTGAATCGTGTCGACTGATGTAACAAAGCAAGCCTGCTTCTCCTCCCACCAGATGCAGCTGATGCAAATGCTGTGGGGTGGACGGTCGGCCGGGCTGACTGCCTTGAAGCTGACTGTCAAAACGTTGCCCTGCTGTTGTTTGCGAAACAACACCAGCCGACGCTTGTTCTCCCACTCCTCGTGCGTCCAGCCCTCTGCCATCGTCGACAAATCGCCGAGGATCTTGAGAGTAGCCTTCTCGTGGTATACTCCGTAACCCCCATATCCGGTTGGCTGAGTCAACGTGCTAGTGCGGATCAGCTGAGGGGTTTGGGGGCTTGTATGTTGCATCGATGTCAGCGGTGGCCTAGACAGAGGGGCGTGGATACTGTGACTGAGTGAGGAGCCAGTCGACCCGCGAAGGGCGTCCATTTGACTGCCGTACATCCATCCAGCAGGCTGTGGCGAGCGCAGAACGGGAGGAGCGCGCGAGCAGTGGTCAGTATAAGAAGGAGTGCGATAAGACGGAAGCATACTCGAGCTGCTCTGGTATGCAGAAGACGTTGCTGAAAACTCGGAGTGTACCTGGGCTTGGGGCTGAACCTGTGCCGTGCTAGGAGTAGATACGCTTGGCGAGAAAGAGTAGGCGCCAGCACTCGAGTCCTCGGGCAGTACGCCGTGCTGAACAAGTGGACTGGCACTCTTGGGCGGTGCTTGTGAGTCTTGATGCTGCGGGCTAGCTCTAGCCCCTGAAGTCCTTGCTTTTGGGGATCCCAACTCAGGGGGGCTGCTGCCATCCGACGCACCGCTCGGTGCTGTGTTGTAAGAAAAGACACCGATATTTGTCGCTCGAGCGAGCACCTCGCCGCTGGAGCTCTCTAAAAGCAACGATACCGGCACGTTGCTCAGCGATGGACAGGCTGTGCTCAGGAACTGCGGGGCGTCGGCGGTGACCGCGTAGGTGCAGAGACCGTTGCCCTCGCGCGACTCCCTCACCACATGGGTGCTGCACTTTTGGGAGCCAAAGTACAGCGATGCAAACGTCGTAGACGTGTTGAGCGTGCTGCCGACGAGATCGTAATCACACGTTAGCCGTACCGTGACCTTGGTGCCGGCACTGCCGGAGCTCGGCAGACAAGAAAGAACATTAACGCTCAATGGGGCGACCGGGGCAAGATACTGGCTGGTCGCACTGTTGGCCGCAAAGGCCATCTGGTTGATCTGCGAGCCATTCTCCTGGGCCGAGAAGGACTGAGAGTACTGAGAATACTGCGAATCTGCATATCCTGAACCGGTCAGCCGTAGCCAGTCAACTCGACAGTAGGATTAGGTGTCCGGGGACCTACCGTGCAGCTGGGACTGGGCCTTGTACGCAGACATGGGCAGCAGGCCAGGGGGGCACCCCCCGAGGTCGCCTGCGCGGGCTTCCTCCTCGAGTCGAAGCGTGAGCGTCTCGGGCGATTCGACGTGGTCGTCGTCCACTATGATTGTTCGCTGGGGATGATAGTCCGGCTGCAGCAAGCGTGAGCGATGTTTTAACTTTTCAATGACTGGTTCTGGTTCTGATTCTGGTTCTGGCGTCTGCGTAGTGCGTACTCACCTCATACACCTTGTACAGCGGCTGCTGCTGGACCTTGGCTGCAGACATCAAGATGAGTTTCTTTGATGGGGCCCTGTCAAGAGGGTGGAAGTGAGAATGTGCTATGACACGACTGAACACGAGTGTGAGACAGTCCGCTGCTGATGGAGATCGTGTCGGGCTGATTATACTTATCAGTCAGATAAGCCCTGGGAGAAGGCATTGACCAGCTAAAAACTGGGGCCAAGGATCGGAGGGTCCTACCTTCTGTGACCAACTGGAAAACTTGACTCAACCCCGATCCTGAGATGATCCTGACCTTGAAGAAGGTACGTCTAAGATTTAGACTGCTGCCTGTGTGGTGGAGAGATCGTCTGTATCGTCGGGCTGGACCTGTTCCTGCTCTGGGTTGCGTTACGCTAGGAACCTCTCTTCTTCAATGTCCGCGCTCAAAGAGCAAACTGCAAATGTCGGTCAGCAGGCATTGCCAGGCCGTGAACTCCGGCATAGAGCTCAAAGGCTGCCCACGGATTCTGATATTTACGTATTGCGTATTAGAATGGGCGGACAGAGGCTTACTCGAATGCTGATTGGCACAAAGCGCTGCTTGTCCAAGTCTCAGAGAGTTGTGATTCTCGGAACCAGCTTTGTGGAGAACCTGGATAGAGTGTATGCAGCTATCCCGAAGCTGTTCGCATGCAAAGTTAGACTTCGCAATCAGCGGCAGCAGCTATCCGCGAGCAGTTCGTCCGCTGAGCCGGAAAGGCACGGGGTAGGAGAGCAGGGAGAAAGACGGGAGAGAGAAATGGCAGACAACAGAAGTGCAGATGACAGAACAGAAACCGCGAGATAGCGAGACAGTCTCAGCAAAGAAAAGAGGCGGGCAGACCGCGAAGATCAATGTTTCTTGCACGTATGGGAGGACAACACAGACCAGCAGCAGGTGGCCTGGAGAGCCACGAGAGGCTTGGGCGGGGTGGCATCCGGAATGGAAGAGCGCTTAGAGTTCGGGAAAGACGTGTCGACCGGCACACTCCCGCAGGGTCTGCGTGCTTTGGGCAGAGGATCCCTTGGTCTGCCAGTGGTGTGTGGTTTGTGTCCTGTGGTCTGCCAGCGGGAAGATAGGGCTGTACCGCAGGTGTGGGAGTACATGCCGGCCAGGACAGAACCATCCACTGCAGTGTCCCAATGTCCCACTCAATGCCCGGCGCCAACGCTCCAGCGACCCCAGCTACCCCAGCATCCCCGGTCTCCTTGACCCCAGATTGACAGCGGCGAATAGGCAGGTGGTATGGCGTTCGGATGATCAGGGATGGGAGAAACTAGCCTGGCCGTTGGATGCCAGATGCTATGTCTCTCTGTTCTGAGGATGGGCGTGGGTCATGCAAGAGTCAACACTGAAGGGTGGGGATCAGGGCCGAAATACTGGTGTTGTGCTGGTGGAGAAAATGAGAACTGCTCTCAGCGGAAACCATTCGGAATGTTCTGCAGTGATCGGGAGCGCGAACTCAGCTTAGATGTTGCTGCTAGGATCACCTTGATCAACTTGATCAGGAGCCCCCATGACAAAGAATGCCAGACCGCATGCTCATTCAACGAAGCTCAGATGGCCAGCTCAAAATCGACAGCGCAGGACTCTTGGAGAGCAGGAACCAGGCAAGTGCCTGTACATGCATCACCAACCTTACTGTGGTTGAAAGCGGGTGATAGGGACACCCCAGGTGTTTGTTCTTGCTGTGCAACGTTCGGGGAGCTAAGCAGGGGTCAAAAGGCTTGGGCCGAACGGGGCTGGTCGGACGGGAGAGGACTGGCTGGCAGACCGGTCAGGGGCTGTCATTGGCGGAAGAAGAGCAGAACCAGGCCGAGCAGGGAGACAAAGGCGGAAGAGATCGACCCTTGGCGGATCTGGGACGGCAGGCCGATCAGCTGCGCGGCAATCCACTGATCCCTGTGATCGAAAATACGACGCTACCCTCGACCACCCGGCACTTCCACGGCGGTAGGGTTGCGTTCCCGGCGGCGATCAAATCGGGTGTCCTCCAGTTGGATGTCCAAGCTCAACAGCGCATAGATCACTGATCGGGACGCTGTCCGCAGGAGCCAGGAGTGTTGATGGGAGGTATTATTGATATTGCAGGATAACAACGAGAACCTGACAGCAAGGGGGATGCCCTCAAACGTCAGGAGCGGGCACATCCTAGTACAGACTTGTTACCAAGATGTGATCATTCTACCCCATCGGCGCTGTTCCTACGCTGGAGCTGAGGCACTCGCTTGTTCAACCAGCGTGGTGTGTTATTATGGAGAAGAGGGCGTGGGTAGCACATGCGGATGGTAAAGAGAAGCGGCCCATGGCGAACGCCATCTCCGGTGGCGCGTCGGAAGGCCCCACAGCCAATCGATCGTGGCCAAAGCGGGCTGTGCAAGGGGCGACCAGGGCTGCCGCCTCGTGGGCCAGCTGAAGGCTCAAGCCAGAGCAGCTGAAAAGGGTAGCATAGTGTAATCCATCGTAAACGCTAACTTACCAGCTATGCAGAAAAGGAACAGTTGCACGGAAAGAGCCCTTGCTCTCGACGCGGGTTTTCTCAGACTCTGCTGGGCTTGGTGATGGTCGTGGCCAGCTTTCCCCAAGTGCCTGACGGGCGATTAACGTTAGGCAGCGCACAGTTTTGGCGGACTGTAGGATGATCGGAAGAGAGCCAGAAGCAAGGAACAAATACTCAAATGAATGCCGGCTAACAGATCAGCAGGACTCAAAGTATATACCACGATCGAGATCTCAATACCGAACATTGAAGCTGTGATAATTCCTCACCCCACCCGCCCGGTGAGCCACTTCTGCGTCTGCACTGCGAGATCACAACAGGCCTGGTCACAAATAGACAGGCCGAGCAACGAGCATCCCGGCAGGGTGGCTGCTTTACAGGCCGAAGCACATCGCGGTGCGGCCGAGTACCCGCCAGTCAAAGCCTGCTAGATGACTACTCATCCGAAGCGGTCGTGATGATGCAGGGCTTACAAGCGAAATGTGGTTAGCTACTGAGCGTCGTGGTTCGACAGGCACGGTATATGTTAACAGCGGATACGGGCGTAGTCCCCCGCCAGCTCCGCAACTCCTTGCAACTCCCGGTAGAGCTGATTTACTGGACCTCGAATCGACCACCACATGTGCCACGGGTCGAGGGCTCCAGAAGATGGGAATGTTAGTGGAGTGGCTGTGGTGGTGCAACATGCGTGGTAAGAGCCTAGGACAGTCCGGCACCGAGATCTGCTCTGTAAAGGCGACAATTGTCCAATGGATCCTCAAACGATACCAAGTGCCGCCCACTTCGAGCTCCCCGATGGACTTTACACTATGACTAGTTGGCCTCTATTGTAAATGCTGTTTGATTCTTTGAACCCTAAAGTCTCATCGCCATCCTCCTCTCCCTCGGGGTCGATTGCAAGAGTGTTGTAGTAGGCAATGGAATAGTGGAAGCTCAGGGGAATCCATCTTGACGGCAGGATCTGATCAATGGAAAAGTCTCATAGCACCAGATCCTTGACTGTATCAAGTTCTTCTATTGATGCCGACTCGTTGGAACGGCAATCGGGACGCGGTAGCTGGCCTGAATTCATGGGCTTCATCAATGGGCAGGCGACGACACTGTGAACAGTGGGGCCGAAGCCCAGTGGGGAGAAGCTCACCGCGTTCATGGTAGTGTTCCAATCGCCATCGTCACAATGTCTATTGTTCTGCCGGGCTCCTCGGATGTGCGCCGTGATTGCATCACCCTCGGACAGCAGATGCCGTCACTGCAGTGAGGACACGATCATGCAAATGGCCGCGTCGGACGTCGGTGAGGTGAAGGCCCGCTCGGTTCCACTCAGTTCCAGCTGAAGGCAATCATTGGCCAATGGCTCAGTTAGCTGTAGGAGACTGTTAGTCCCTTCTCTGAAAAACACACAGAAGAAACTTCCAACTCATCCAAGCCCAAATCACTCGAACAACTCAAACCTCCCGCTTCCAACCCCTAAATCCTTCTGCCCTTGAATTGCCCTTTGTAGTCGATGACGAATCATAAGTCATGCCCTCTGCATCGCATGTATCTGTGTCTTTTCCGATAGGCCTGCTGTGCCTGCTTCACAACGCCAGTACCTGCATCCACCCATCCATTCTCGCTGCCTGCTCCCTGCTCACCCACTTAAACTGCAGGCACCGCTGACACCGATTTGCGTCTCTTACGAGCGACATTTGACACAACCCCCTTTCACTGACAGGAGCTCCAATACAAGCAAGCTTAAGTTTCGTGCGACAGGTACCATTCGAACCTGTGCTGGGCTTGGTACCAAAACACAATTCGACCTGTTCACACACGACGAAGCACATTGCCACGATCTACGGCCGTACAAGCTCCAGATTCGACGGCTTCCCGCAAGCTGCCCGCCGCTGTGCAACACGATCCCATAAATGCGGCGCCCCCCAAGTACAATTATCCCCGCAGCTCTTTGGCATTTGGTCACACTGGATTCCTGCACATTAACAATTCAATTTCATTGTGTACCATTGTCACTGACTCGCCGCACACTGCTGAACCTCCGCCCCAAATCCTCAGTTACTGCTTGAAATCTCGGCAGTCCATCGGTCCCACTGCCGACTGTGTCCCAGATCTCGACCAACCCCGGCGCTCGCTCCGTTTCGATCAGGCTTTCTTCACTTGTGTAACTGGACTTCCTGGGCTAACCATCACGGCTGCTCAAACTTAGTTGTTTATGCGGATTTGTCCCTGAACGCCCAGCGGGTAAATGGCATAACTGACAATGGTCACTGTTGTGATGAAGTTCTGTCCATGCTAGCTCTTGTTTGTCCAGAAATCTTCAAGGCATGCAAAGCCACACGCTCCTTACGAATCCTGGAACGAGGAATCAAGAACCGATAGTTCATTTGTCTGCAAACATTTTACCACATGGAAGGACAGACAACGAATCCGGCTGCAATGCTCCTAGCATGCACCTTTTTAATCGTTAGTGCTACGTCTGGCAACCCCATACTTACTGACACCAAGCCTGAGTTGGATAATGTTATCGGC